TGTATAGAAAGAGTTCATAGTTCACAGTACAGACGAAGCTCATGACTGAAAGAATGTCGAAACATGGGACACAAACTGAAAGGTGGCTTTAATTCTGACCGATGCATCATTCTTGCTGTTAATTAGGAGTTGCAGTGGCTTACTGACTGTGTGTCTCTGTGCTGTGGACAGAAGCTGAAGGCGCTGTTCGCAGTGGACAGCGATGGAGGCGTCAGCGAGCCCCTGGAGGTCAGCGCTCTCAGCTGTGACACCGTGGAGCAGGTCAAAGAGAAAATCCTGTCCACCTTCAAGGCCAAGTTTGGCTTCCCCTTCAGCACCACCCTCGGGGACGTTTCTATCGGTCAGTAACGGACGAGTTTATTTAGTCTGTTCACTTTGATCATTGCTAAGAGTTTTTATAGCTGGTTCCACATACAAAGCGATAGTAGCATGTCTTCTCTCATGTGTCTTCAGCTGCTGTGAGCACAGAGCTGTATTGTTGTCCACAAATTAGTTCAGTTTGTTTACGAGGATGAACATGTGCACTGTGGTTTATAAATCAGTCCCACTGAACCGTATCATTGTGAGTCATTCTAAGATTCCTATCTCGTGTAGAAATGTTGTGCTTCAGTGCCACAGAACAGGAAGAGAAGCTGATTAATTGCTGACAAAAAGAAAACTAGAAAATTGCATCAGCTTTGTTCTTTCACCCTCTGAGACCCGAGTAGTTTCTGGACGTTTCTTTGCCCCTGTTACATGTTTACTCACTGTGGAGTCATTTGTCACTGCAGCATCAAGTCCTGCATCTCTATGGAAACAGCACAGCCATGACTGGAAGTAGAGGGGACTGACAAATGTCTTTTGTGCAGTAAAGCAAATCATAACACCATAAATGATTTCCTTTTAAAAAAATTAAAAATTTCATTGTTGATTTTGCCAAAAAAAATGAAAAAACGGAATCAACAAATACAACATTTTGTACAAGTGCCCCCAGGAGTTACCAACACCGAGACAGAAATGGTGTCTCTACAGACTATAGACATGATACTAGGGACAGTTTCACAACCTCAGTGTTTTTCATCCTGCACACATGTTTCATCATGCTGAATGTGGCTTCCAACAACTTGATGACAACTTGCTCCACTTTATACTGTGTTTGAGGTCATGCTGCTTTTATTTTATTGGTCAGTTTCTCTGTTTTGTTTCTATACCTATCTACTATCTGTGTAACCACTGCCTGCAGTTCAATCGAATCCTCACTGAGTGTTTGTCACAAGACACAGCTGAGTCCATCTCTGTTGCTCTGGGTAGCATTTAACTTTAAGTTTATTGCAGCATCTAAGGCAAACTGTTTATTTTCTGCAATTTTTGAAATGAGACATCTAGAATAAGGTGATTTTTATTAAATATTATAAGTTTGACCTTTGATTTGGCTTCAAGGATGGTCGGGAGGTTGAAATATCCGATGATTCTTTGTTTTTACACTCTCCGGTGTCATTTATTTTAAAGAAAACAGACCTTTCACTGCTGCCGACAGGTTTTTTTTCTCATTTTGCTTAGTGTGTTTAACAATTAAGCCCTAAAATTAACTAATAGATGCAACATTTGATACTCATAAATTCCTCTTTAACATCACGGAAAGCCTTTTCGTGCCATTAACTTCTTTCCCTTTTCCCATTAGAGTATGAAAAGGACGGGTCATTTATTCACATGGAGGAAGTGGACGCAAGCTCTGAGGTTATTGGGGAGGTGACGATGCTCAACACGCTGAAGCACTACAAGGTAATTAACTGTAGGGTAAAAAAAAAGCTGTTAAAAAAAAAAACAACATCCTGCAGAAACTGTTAAGGTGGTGTGTTGATTGGTGCATGTATAAGAGAACAGAAACTGACATACACCCACTGCAACTGCGCATTTTGCCAACTGCAGCGTTCACAGTCTTACTCAGCTTGAGGGTGGGGAGGCATCGGTGCCAGTGGGCAGAGATCAGTTAGCCAGACGTCCTCCTTCCACTGTCAGTGTGTTTACAGGTCTCTTTCTGGAGTTTATGACATGTTCATTATTGGTTTGACAAAAACTTTAAAATGTGAAAGACAAACCAAATGCTTCCCTTAATATTTATAACACCAGCAGCGTTAATGTTAAAGGAAAAGGCTGCATCGTTTAGAAGCAAGAAGTAATTTAAAAATAAAAAAAAAAAAGAAGTGTGATAGATGTCACTTCAGCTACTTCTGTGCTAAAAGCCCATTTCCTCAAATTCTTACTTTCACTTTGAGATGTTCTGTTATCTTTTGCCTTGCATGTTAGACAACAGCAGGATTACATTTTGAACTGGTTGCGACGGACGACGGCGTGTCAGTGAGAGGAAATGGGAAGCTTTTGTCTCAATTTTTTCATTACATCTAATAGGAGCAGAGGATTTTTACACAGAGAGAAAAAAAAGCCTCGTGGAGGACAAGTGGTTTGTAATGGCTTCATAATGTGATCATAGAGTCTTTTGTACAACGTCTATCATCCATCAGCACCATCGCTGACTGGGAAAAAAAAAACACTCCTATGTGAATTGTATCACAGCATGGTGACCTGGACTTTGTTAGCCAAATTACAAAGCCAGATCACAACTTAAAAAAACTTTGTTAGAAATTTTTAATTGAGCTGGAAGCTGTGCACAAGTGTAACTGTCGAGATGAATGAGTAGAACAAAGCAAATGTCATGTAAAGTTGACTGTTTTTGTTGTTGTGTTATAGCAACAGCCGGGTCACCGGTATAAACTCACTTATCGGTTAGATGTCACAGTTGATTGTGGTTTCCTCTTACATAAACAGAAACCAAAATAAAATATAAAAAAAAACCTGAAACTGGACGCCTCAATGATCTAAATGTCAATTTTATTTCATGACCTTTGCATAACCAGTTGTGAAACGCAGGGCTCCTCAGATCCGTAGCAGTCGGTGCAGCTACATTTTGAAATGAATGTAAAATTTATCTAATTCGTTTGTTCTTCTGCAGGTTGATGATGGCGCGACAATCAAGATGCTTTCTAGGAAAAACCAGCCTCCTCTGAGTCCACAGGGAAGTCTGAAGGGTGAGAGCTGGGAAGCAAAACTGCAAAAATGTTGAGCAAAGAAGTTCATTCTTGGCCTTGAGAGCAATATGTGACCAATCGAGGTTGGTCACATATCCTCAAGGCTGTCTTCTGTCTCAGCTTTGTATCATATTTCAGTCTTTTATCAGTAAATGGAACCAGCTCGGTGGAGAATGCGGCATTAGTGTGGAACAATCATGTCTGACATCCCACGTAACGAGCGTCTTTGTTCGATGATCCTCTCGTCCCCGTGCTCCATCATGGAATCAAGCTCTCTGCAGAAGTCCCATGATGCCACATGAGCCTGTTCCGTGTGCTGACGAGTCTGCAGAGATTGAGCCTGATGTGTTGATTGTGCTGGCTGCAATGTGACTGAGTGTTCAGTGTGAGCATCGCTTATGGGCTTATCAAATGGGTGTGACACAAAATGTGGCAGACTGGCTAGCATCCCAGCTGTAAAGTGCAACACAAGTAGATCTCCACTTTCCACCACATTACCAACATTATTCTTCCTGTTGTTGGACTACTTACACTCTGGCTGATATTGTTCCCTTGATGGGCAAAGTTCTTACAGCAGGCTAAACTCACATGACACGCCCATAATAAGTGCAAAACATTTCTGTTTATTACTGCTGATTCCTCTTCATTTTTGCCTCTAGATGACGAGAACTTTTCCGGAAAATACTTCCATTTGGTAAGAGAGCTTGTGTTTAATGTCTGCAATTATCGAATCACTACACTTCCAAGTTCTGATTTGATTGGTGTCCTGATTGTAGATTGATCCAGATGTAGAGGAGGACCAAAGAAAGAACCCGGAGAGGAAGAAGTTAAAACTGAAGGAAGTGCACCTCACCAAGCTGCTCTCCACCAAGGCAAGAGGAAGCAGTCACTGTCCTCATTTTGCTTAAACCAACACCAGCAGTAGCAGAACTGATACCAGAGTCTGTCACTGGGGTATTTTTGTCAGCAGCAGCAGCAGCAGCAGCAGCAGCAGTGGTGGTGGTAATGATGTAAATAGAAGCGCTCTGTTTGATGCTTCTTACTGTCATTTACAGAATGTAAAGCACTTTCTGTTTTCAGGTTTTAAAAAAAGAGCAAAAGGCACTTTGATCTTCCCTTTCTTAGGCAGGAAATGAATCACGAGTTCTGGTGAGAATCGGGGCGTGTACTGTATTGTACCGTCGTCCTTCCTGACGGGACGACATTCCGTTTGTAACGTCCCACGTGGTGAAAATCCACCAAACCAACTAAATTTTGGGTATAAAGTAGAAGCTGTTAAGATGTGAAGATGCTTACTTGCATTTTCTGAAGCCCCCACACTACTCGCCTCCCAGCTTTACAAGCCAGTAGGGATGCTACTGAGGATCCAGTAGCTGTTTTGTTCTAACTTCTTGTAATCTTCTCTCCTCACTGCTTTCCAGTGAGCTGCTCAGGAAGGGCCACTGCCTCCACGTCCACCAGGTTTATGTACTTTCTCGAGCTGCTCTGAACTCTAAAATGTCTCAACCACAAGCAAAATGTTCTGCTGTTGCTCACTAGAGTGAACACAAGAGTCTCCATGCACTCCCAGCATCTGAGAAACTGAACATCCAATGGAGTGCTTTTATTATTGATGGCAATGTCCCCACAACAATAGGAAAATCCATAGCGTTAGTACATCATACGCTAATGTGGCTAGCATTACCATTAGCTTTGATGGTATGCCCACTGGTCCGAGCTCTGTGGAAGCTGTAACGCTGAGGGACATTCAGAGATGGTGGCAACTGTAGGAGCCATTTGAAACAAGACTTCTCTCTGTGCTCACACATGCTGCATTTGAACGCAGTTGAATTTCCTGTTAAAGCTGTTCTCAGCTACATGTATTTCTGTTTCTGTTGTCAGACAACGGAACAAGTATGAATTAGCGACTGACACGCAGCCCGTCACCACAACATGTTAACCAGCCGTCCCTTCAGCGTCTGCACCACGAAACCACTACATGATTTTATAACCGCTTTATTGTCTGACAAACTCACCACATGCTAATATGTAAAAAACAACAACAAAAACAACTGTGCTGTTATTTTGGTAATATTTCCGTGTAAAATAATCACTCAGAGAAAGTTAAAAGTGATGCACTCATTTATATCTGGGTCAGCGAGCATACACTCAACTATTTTTCTGAAAAGCTGAAAGACTCATTCTGGGGCTAATTTGCTGGAAACAGACCCAACATGGAACCTTTAAAGGATCTTTTTTGCACCTCTTTGCAGAAAATAACGAGCTTGTTCTTCCTCTCTTTCAGGTGGCGGTGCATTCATTTGTGGAGAACCTTTTCAGGTCCATCTGGGGGATGCTGCAAAACAAAGCTCCACATGCTGTCAAATACTTCTTCGACTTCTTGGACACTCAAGCAGACAACATGAAGATCACCGACCCGGACGTCCTGCACATCTGGAAGACCAACAGGTACATCTGGGCGATCGAAAGCTGTGTGAAAACCTTCACCGTGAATTTCAATACCAATGCAAGAGCAGTGGCGTGTTTAACCTTGAGTCAAGTCTGCTGATGTGAGAATCTTAAGCCGTTCTTCTTCCTCTGTGACTGTCCTCTCGTCACCAGCTTGCCGTTGCGCTTCTGGGTGAACATCCTGAAAAACCCTCAGTTTGTTTTTGACATGGAGAAGACTCCGCATTTGGACGGCTGCCTGTCTGTCATCGCTCAGGCCTTCATGGACTGCTTTTCTCTTAGTGAGATCCAGCTGGGGAAGGTACAGTATAATATAGTACCGATAATGTACTGTTACAGGAAGAAGATGAGGAAGTGCAATTTTCCTTTTATAGTTGAGGCAGTAGGCAGAGATGTAGTCAGTGGTGGATAGCCCTCTAAACCCCAAAACCCACTTCAAAAGCTTGTTATTGTCCATCCATCCATCCATTATCTATACACCGCTTAATCCTCACTAGGGTCATGGGGGGCTGGAGTCTATCCCAGCTGACTCAGGGTGAAGGCAGGTTCACCTGGACAGGTAACCAGTCTATCACAGGGCTACACTTAGAGACAGACAACCAAGCACACTCACATTCACACCTACGGACAATTTAGAATCACCAATTAACCTCAACATGTTTTTGGACTGTGTGGGAGGAAGCCGGAGAACCCGGAGAGAACCCACGCTGCACGGGGGAGAACATGCAGAAAGATTGCAGTGTCCCCACCGGGACGCGAACCGGCAACCATCTTGCTGCGAGGCAACAGTGCTACCAACTGCACCACCCTGCAGCCCGCTTGCTATTGTTTTTTATTTTAAATCATCCAAATTACATCATTTATAATTGTCAGATTGGGTCATAAACTTTCCAACAGTCCTTGAATTAATCATGTGTGACGCGTCGTTCTATCAGAAAACTTAACATCTAAGCTAATGATCATGACTTTATCCAACATATCTCATTTAAGATTTCCCTTACTGTGTGCACCTACAACAGCATTTAAAAAAACTAAAAATTCGGCAAACGTGAGACGAGTTGATTTTAGGTTGTTTCTATTTTTGTGAAATAATGGCAGAAATTCCGTTTTTATTATCTATCATTTCTGACATTCAACTTTGCCTTACTGCAAAAAAAAAAACATTCATGAGCTCTGTCAGTTTCTACGATGGTGCACAATTTTAATTTGCATTTTATATTGCAGTGAAAAATGAGCCCACCGTGAGTAAAAATGTGCAAAAAACACCCAGAAACTACTCGAGGGTTCAGAGGGTGGATAGTATGAAAACAAAATCATGCATCTGCACGCAGAAGATCTGCAACCAAGAATGCATAAAAGTTCATAAAACACCTTGAATATTATTCCTGTGTTCCAGCACGCACCGACCAACAAGCTCCTCTATGCCAAAGACATTCCTCAGTTTAAACTTGAAGTGAAGACGTACTACAGACAGATCAGAGAGCAGTCGCCGATGACAGACACAGAATTCAAGGACTTCCTACAGCAGGAGTCAAAGGTAAGTTCATTTTAGCAAAAAATCTAAAAAGAAAAAAGAAAAGATGAATGCCACTGGGTAATCCAGTAGTGAATGGATGTTTGTTTTTCTTTCAGAAACATGAAAATGAGTTCAATGAAGCTGCAGCCCTCAAAGAACTCTATAAATTCATACAGCAGTACTTCACAGAGGTCAGTCTACTAAACACACGTCCTCTTTTTGCCTTCGTGGTGCTGCTGGGTTTGGGTTGTTCACAAACACAATGGATGTTCCTGAGACTGAAACTCTTAGATGATACAAATAACTCGTGATGTTCGAGATCTTTTGCTGTTTACATAATCTTTTGTGTGTGTGTGTGTTCATGCTGATGCTCCTCAGTAGTCAGCTGTAGGTGACAGACTGACAGCTGTCTGAAGTGAACAGAGACTACTTCCAGCTTTGATCTCGACATTACAGTTGTATGATTTCTGGATCAGATCTAGTCATTGAAAAAAAAAAAAAAAAACATGACCCTGAATGGAATCTGGGAGAAAATAGCAACCCGGAGGGTTTTTTTTTTTTTTCTTTGCCACAATGATTACAAATCATCAGGTCTGAGTCATGAGTGGATGACGACAAAACTAAATTGAGGAACCTTTAGTGTGAGCAGCCGAATACAGAAGAGCTAAAAATTTAGTGTCACCTTCTTATTACATCGATAAAATCAAAAGGACAGATTGTGATAAGATGTTAGAAATGTACTGCAGGTTTCTGCCCTCCAGATATCACGCCTGATTCCTCACTTATCCACATCTGATTGGCTTTATTCCTGGAATCAGTTGAATCTTACTGACAGCAGCAGTGACTTCGGTTGTGAAACCGGCAGTCACATGAGCTGCAGAGGAAATGTGTTCGAACCTGAGTTCCCTCTGCTGTTTATCGGGCTGTTGTTTCCTGTTCTTGGGTGCAGTGTGACAATTTTTCATAACTCAACACCGCAAAGTTGTTGTTTTTTTTTTTTTAAATAAGAGCTACATGGAGTTGGTGCCACCTTGACAGAGAATTCCCAGACAGACGATATGAAGAAGTGGCGTTATAAGAATCCTGACAGTTGTTTTGTGCAGTACCACAGCAAAATATGGAGCCTCACACTCTCCTACTGTTGTGTTACTGCATGTGTTTTTCATATTTGCTGGTGTGATAGCCCTGTCCAGTAATGGTACACTGCCAGCATAGAGACGCACAGTATACGCTATGGAAGGGAGAGTACGTGACACACTGTACGTGATGTCTTTATCGCTCATTATTTGTTTTAAAGGTCTGTCTCTTGTGGTTGGATGTTTTATTGTTGCCGTTTGGACTTGGCTGCTGCTGTGCTTCAATCTACGGTGCAATGGATGTGTCTATTTCTTTAGAAGTTATTGATTACAGTAACTTTAATACAGCCCCCTCGCCAGCAAAACTATCACTGCACAAACACAACCGCTGCACGTAGTCAGCATCATTAGCATTACAACCATTAAAAGCAAGAGTGCACTGACTCTGTCTGTGGCCACAGCTGTGAAAGATGCAACTCAGTACAGTAGAAGCTGGTCGGGACCACAAGCATCCTCAGCTCTGGTTGCTTAGATACAAGTCTGCACTTCTGCATCAAGAAAGAAAACTAGAGGGTCTGGTTTACTGCTGCTGACACGCAGTGTTTGACTGCAGCCCTGACATGACAGCTGTCACTGTGGCTGGAGGGATTGTTAAGGTTAAAAACAACGCAGCAGCTTCATCATCGCAGCCAGACACTGTGGCTGCAGCCGGACATCGTCTGAGATCAGCCATTTAAGATGAGAAATGAGCAATAAATACACCAAGTATCACATCGTCTGTACTTTATGTAGTTTCTGCAGCGTTTCCCTAAACTGCACCAACAAACCAACTATTAATAAGGAGTAAAGTAAAATGCAAGCAAACACAAATCTAAATATTCCTGCTGTGACCCTTGGGGGGAGGAGGGGCTCCGTAGTAAAAGGCTTATTAAGCTGCCTGCCTTTGAAATGTGCTCCCGTGTCTTTTGTTTAGGCTTAAATGCGCCTTTTCAGGACACATTAAATGGAAAAGTGTCTGGAAGATATCTCAACCCACTGACACAATCTTGACTAGATTCCAGAAAGCTTTGGTTTTCAAATTTAACGTACCTGAAAATGCGTTACAATTGCCTCTTTCGGATACTTTTCTTACAGATCAAAGAGAAGCTGGACCAGAACGGAGCCCCTGCTGAGCTGACGGAGCAACTACAGCATGTTAAAGACTCGTTTGACGGACTGAAAAGCTGCTCGTGGGACTGAGCCATCTGAACTTTCACTCATGTGAATGGCACGGCGAGAGGAAACCGCTAACAAAACTGTCATGAGGAGGACTGACAAGACTTCTGGCCAGTGTCTATCATCTCCTGCTGTTACCATGGAGATGAGGTACTGAGTTAAACTAAGCTGGAGGAGCTCAAAGGAGCTGCTAACCATGTTGCTAATGTCATTAGTCAGTGGGGAGTTTTGTGTCTAACAATAAAATGCCTTCTCTGGGTTTTCCGCCCTGACGTAATAAGAAGTCTGCTGGAAACTTTAAATCTATTTTAATGCCAAAACTTCACAGGACTCAAAGATACCAAGTGAGACACATATCAGCTGGCTGTAGCTTGCATAACAGGACACTTCCTTTGAAAGCAGTTTTGTGTCTGATGGACTTGCATGGCAGTTGCACCATGAAAAACAACCCTATGACCTTAATCAGTTTTGATCTTAAATGATAATGTTATGATCACGACTCAACCTCCCAAATGGACAAAGTCAAAAAAGGATCATCTGTAAGTTATTGTTTCAACAGACAATTTATAGTCTGTAGTATGTTTTTATTAACTCCTCCATATAAATGCTTTTTTTTTTTCTTTTTACAGAATGGCTTAAGAGCAAATGTAAACAAGCGTCTCAATACAAAATCAAACCCTGAGGTTGTCACAATTAATTTTTTTTTTAAAAGGTGCCAAGGCATCACAACATTAAGAGACATGTAAACTGTGGTGGAAAACAATCCGTTCTCATCTCTCCGTTTTTGTGGAAATATGCCAATAAATAATGTTTCTAGTTTTATAAAACACTGTTGATGTCCTTGATTTGGAAACGGGACACCACCTCCCTCTGTAATTGTATTGCGAGTCCAGTGGGGTGTAGGATGGGGGTCAGAGGTCAGGCTGAGGTGTGGCCTCCCGATCCCTCTGAACCAGAGATCCCAGTTCCTCCAGCTGCTGCTGCTGGGCGCTTTCCAGGTTCTCCAGCCTCCGACGCAGCAGAGAGAATTCTCCCTGAGGCTGCTCCTCCTACAGAACAGGGACGAGGGGAAAAAGTAAGGAAATGTTCAAACCCCCATGAACCCAGGCCTCTACTCCTGTCTTACTCACGTGCACATTCAGCCACAATAGAGACTTGTGTTGCTACAGAATGGATTTACTTTCACACATGCAAACTGTTTCCTGTGTTTAGTCCCACTTGGCTAAAAAAAAAAAGCCCCTTTGGTTTGACTGTTCTCTCTGCTTGTATCAAACCCATCGCTTTGTGATTTCACACCTTGATTCACCATCAGCACATGATCAGAATTTTCATTTGAGTGCTCATACAGTTGACTTGTGGCTTCAAATGCTCTGCACAGTGCCCAACACATCTTATACCTCAGTTAGTGATTTGACATTTTAAGGAATGCCCTTTAACAAACCCACATAGACGTGTGAACTCACTGCATTCAGCTGTGGGTTTTGTGTGTTTGAGGAGAGGTTCCATTTCCTCCCAACTTAACTTGCACTTGGCCCATTTGCTGCTGCTGCAAATTAGTCAGTGTGCTTTGACAAAACGTTTCTTCCTGCATAATTACAGTACTTGTCACTCAAATATCTGTTTGCTGCGACACTCACTGGGTTGCTGGAGAACTGTCCCTCAGACCCGAGGAAGAGGAAGGGGGCGGATGACGAAGTCAGGAACGCGGGAGCTGCGCTGAAGGGACCCTGGCTGCCTAACAGGAGGCGTCGAAACTCGTTGTGTCGTCGCTGCAGCTCCTTCAAGCGTCTGTTGAGTTGAGCTTGTTCGTCTGTGAAAGATGAACGCCTGGACAAAGGAAACAAGGTGTTTGAAATTAGACCATCGTACACCACAGCTGCTAGGCAGGTGTTCATTGTAGTTTCCTAATGTTTAACAGTGCCTGTGTGGCTGATACATATACTGATATAATTGGGACAAAAAAAACTAACTTAATCAGCCAACAGTTAAGAGTCTCTCTGAAAAAAGTTGCTTTGACCAATGACAGCAGTTCATGCCAGGCTTCTTTCATTTATGAGATAAAGACAGATGACGTTTACTTTTTTGCTGCAGCAGCTTCCAGCTCCAGCTCCTCGATTTTGGCCTCCAGCAACTGGATCTTGTCCTGCAGCCTCTTCTCTTTGTTCTCTGTCAGTGTTTTTCTCTAAACCAACAAACACATTATCTGCAGCTTCCACAAGTAATCAAGCCTTTCAATACTCGTTGGGAGTTATGATGTCAAAGCTGCGTGTACACATGAGATAAAAAATGTGGAAATGAGCAGTAATGGGTCATAAAGACTTCTCGTAAACACGGCCATGACACATTCAGAAGAAAGCACGTAGCACAAATGAAATCTGTGTGTAAACGCATCTAAAGACCTCTGACGAGCTAACATGTTGCTAAACTCCAACCTGTTGAAATAACAGCAAGTGAAGGAGGAGCAGTACCTTCTTCTGGGCCACTGCTGCCCTCTGCAGCTTCTCTTTGACCTGAGAGTATTTCTGCTGAAGCTCGGCCTCTCGCTCCTGCAGCTTGTGTTTCTCCTCCAGCCAGTCAACCCGACGTTCCTCCACCAACCTGGAAGAGGAACAACAGAGAGAAGTGAAAGGAGTGGTTTTAACAAATGGAACGTGTTGTATTTTTAGACATGCACACTGTGGATGTACCTCTCTGCCTCGTGTTGGCTCTTCTCTGCCTGGCCTCTGGCTGTCCTCAGCTCCTCCCTCACTCTGTCCAGTGTTTCTCTCAGTCGCTGGTTTGCTTCCATCAGGTCGCTTTCAGAGTGTGACAGCGTCCCCAGCTGGACTCCAAGTTCCTGGTTTTGCTGTTATGTCAAACAATAATCACAATTACTTCAGGCGTCTTTGTTTTTTCTCTAAATAACACTTAAATGTTTTGTTGACTTACCTGCTGTAAGTCTGCAATTTCTGCTTTCTGTCTCTGAAGCTCTTCAAGCTGTGAGCTCTGCTGCTGTATTTTAGTTCTAAGAGATATCAAACATTTACTAATATGCCAACATTTAGAAAAGCTCCATTTCTCTCAATTGATCTTGCACAAATGGAGACACTCACTGTGCTCGTATAAAATATTTTAAAAGTCCTCCACAACACACATTTATCTGAGTAGCTGACCACAAAATGTGAACAGGAACTGGGGCAACGGAGCCAAACACAGAGTGGTGGCATCATCTCACACACTCTGGTTCCAAATTAGTTTCAACACATTTACTGTGGCTTCTATGGGCACTGTAGTTAGTTTCATTTAACTGCAGATAAAGAGCTCAGATGACACCACAGCTTTGCAACATTCAACACAAAGCTGACCTCAGGTTCTGTAGTTCTCTGCGGGTCGACTCCTCGCCTTGCTGGGCGCTGCGGAGACGCTCCTCCCACTCCTCCTTCTGGGCGTGCTCTGAAGCGTCCTGCAGCGCCTTCTGCTGTTCCAGTGCTGCAAGACGGTTCTCCAACTCCAACCTAGCCACAGAAAATGCTTTAAAATAAAGTGGACACTAGCAGAAAATTGAATACCAGCAAAGAAGTACTTCTCTCTGACATTTTGTACCAATAATGCATAAATTATTTTACTAGCACTTTAAAGCACTTTAGCAGAATGTTTAACATCAGTGATTGATTGAGAACAGCTTCTGCATCTTTTCAATGGATTATGGCTATTTTTCAATCGGAGACAAAACATCAGAAGACTGATATCAGTGAGTAAAATAAAACATAGAGGCGATTCTCACTTTTCCTCATGCAACGTTGCTGTTTTGCGGAACTCCTCCTCCCGAGCAGACTGCACCTTCCTGACCATCTCCCGCTCCTTTTCCACCACAACCTCTTTGTGTCGCTCCACTGCTGCCTTTAGCACCTCCACGTCTGCCTGCAGACCTGAGACCGACACGTTCATGTGAGAAATCTGAGGCTGATACACACTGTAAATGTTTCAGGTATCCTGGATCAGTGAGGGATTTTTTTTATGTTCATGATTTTCCAAAATAAAGTTCAGAACAGAACCTGTCGCTGCAGTCTTTCAGCTATATACTAGTTACATAGAGCCAAGTGGGGCAAAGCTGTGAACAGCTTTCTTGCACATTTCTGGCGTTTATTTCTGGCCTTTCTTAGACTGGTCTTTAGTGAGGAACAAGATAAATGTGAGAGGCGAGATGGATGACATTAAGGACTAAATACATTAAAATGTTGTCTGTTTTTAACTACACAGACAGATGAGCACGATGTGTGTGTACTTGTTCAGATATCTTTGAGTCCATCAGAGTGAGGACACTGTGGCCAGTCCTCACTTTTTCCGACCTCTTCAGAGGCCTGTTTGAGGTTAAAGATTTGGTTTTAATTATAAAGTTCGAATTGGGTTTATGTTGGGCTAACACTTCAGGAGCTTTACAATCCTAACGATTTCTGAATTGGTTTGCAGAGAAACTTTACAGATATTCTTCTCTAATCTCAGATAAGCACACATCAGAAGACTGGGAAACAATGGTGCATCACACTGCAGGAAATCATTCAGACTGTTGGCCAGAGGAAGCAGTCAGTCAGTAAGCAGCGCACCATCGCTAGTGTGAACAAAATAGCGACTGTGGTGCAACAACTTGCTGTTATGGTAATATTACAGAAGGCTGAACAAGTTTGGAAGGAACAGTCAACACAGTTTGTCTATTCTTCAATGAGAAATGGAAGTAGGATTTGTAACAGTTGTAGCATCTGTAGCTAACGTTAGCCTGAAGGAGTAGAATATTTATCTTTGCTTGGCAAGAACGTCCACTGCTCGAGGCGCTACAGTGATAATCGTGACCATTCAGATTTTAACTCCTCATATCAAACATGCTGGATTTTATCGGCGTGGCCTCGATAAGTCCATGAGCAGTTCACAAAGCTTCAGACTGGATCTGTAAATCCCTATTATTACCCAATCTGGCCTGAACACTGGGTCAGATCAAAGTCCCAGACCAGATTTAACCAGATTTTCCCACCGTTTGTCAGCAGGGGTGAAACCAAAATAAATCAGCTTGAAGCTCCTGTAGTCTGAGCCGGCATTAGGGTCAGACATTTAGTTGTGAAGGTTAATGTGCCAAGGAATTTATGACGGAAATCAAATTTCCTCACAAAGACAGCTACATATACATATATATGTGTGTGTGTGTGTGTGTGTGTGTGTGTGTGTGTCCATACCGTCCATCTGGCCCTGCAGTGTGTCTCTCTCTCTCTCCACCTCCCCTTTAGAGCGAGCACACTCCAGTTTGACGCTGGCCGTCTCCAGCTTGTGTGAATGCTTCAAGCTTTCAATCTGTAAACCAGAAAAACACCATTAAACAGCGTTTTTATCTTTTTGTCAAGCATCAAACCACATGTGTAGTAAACAAAACTACATCTGTGAACATCTATAAAACCTACAAACATGAATGAACATGAAACCTGAAGAGAGGGTTTGAATTTCGCTTCATCACAACCGTCACACTTATTGTGGCTCTGAAGCCCAGACAGTGTTCAGTTAGGTCCTGTCACAATCAGTTAACATATTGGGATGGTGTCAGTAAGAAAGTTATTCAAAAAAATTTGGCTGCCAGATTATGCTGCCCAATTTGGGAAATGTATGGGCATTAGCTGCACGCTAGCAAGAGATGGGAGCTCTAGTTGTGTTATTTTTCTCCAGTCTTTCTCGCTTTCCAGCTGGATTAGTATATAATTCTCTTTGCGTCGTGCCTGAACACACAGTCAGAGGTCAGGGTCAAAGGTCACAGAGCAGTTTACCTGACAGGTGAGGGAGTTGACTTCTCTCTCAGCTTTGTGCAGTT